CTCGTCAAGTGAAAAACTAGGTAATTTCTATGATTTCAGCATTCCCGCTTCATGTGCCCTTTCTCATGGCAATAATGGCACTCAATGTCGTTCTTTGAAAAAGAGTCATCTCTTGATTTGTCACGACTTTGATCATGACCATGAGGAGTCTTACTCCACTCCCTTGTTTTACTTCGCCCTCTCACAACAAATGCCTCCGAATGAGAGGAACCCACTGATTTTTTTCTAGTTTTTTCATTCAACAAGCTACTAGTGACTTGACTCATTATAACAACTCCACCAGGTGCCGAATTACTAACCGTCACAACCAAAGTCTCCCAACTTTCGAGCAAAGAACATATAGCATCAAAACCTGCAACTCATCATCAAAAAAAAATTTCATAGAAGCAAGTTGGTTAACAATACTCTTTATTTCATTCAAATTTTCCGAAATGGGGCTGCCATCTTTATTTTTAAATTAACCAAGTTATGAAATAGAAAGGCTTTATTTGTGGTTGATTTTCTAACATAAAGGTCTTCTAATTTTTTCCATAAATCATGTACTAAAGTTTCAGTAGCAACATGATGAAACACACTGCCATCAATCTATTGACGGATAACACCAACGACTTTTCGATAAGTCCCTTCCATTTATCATCTTTCATACCATCGGGTTTGCCACTATCACCCACAATAGGTCTATACAAATCTTTACAAAATAATAGGTCCTCCATTTTAGTTTTTCAAGTTACCCAATTGCTTTCATTGAAGCTAGACATACGACCCACATTCCCTTTCATTTATTTACACAAATAAATAAACCCAAATAAACTGTAAGTTTTGATACCAGTTGTTAGGGACAATATATGATTTCCCACTAGTAAATCAATCAATGAAAATAAAAACTAATGTGAAAAAATTAAATTAATAGCAACGCAAGAATTTCACGTGGTTCCCTCAATATAAGGTACGTCCACGGGATCGAAATTCGATTCTACTATCAACCAAAAAGTTTCCAAATGATTATAAATGAGACATGAATGATCTCACAAACCACTCTTAGGTGAATTCCAAATAATTACAAATAAACAAGAGGAAAGACCTCACCAAATAGATGAAAAAAAGTTTTCAAAACAGAGTTGTAGAAGAACCAAAATAATTAACCCAAATCAGCCGAATCAAAGTAACCAGTCGAAGATCCACTAACACAATGTTTGAAAGCACCAATGAAATATTCCAAGCAACATAGAACAAAGCACAACCACTGAATTGATGTGTCTAGCCACCGTTATCCCTTCGGAACAATATATATATATATATATATATTATTAACTCTTGGGTTTTTTTATCAAAATTCTAATTGTTACCAAACTGAATTGGGCCTCCAAAAATTAGATATAATATATTAAAAATGTTGTCAAACCCCAAATCCGGGCATGACCGGCCGTGGCCCACAGGGACTTAGCCCAAGGCACACGTAAGCCTAAACACGAATCCAATCACATTGAACAACTAAACAATAGTCCAATAATAAATAACCAAAACTCAATCCAGACATGTCACAATTATAAACGGCAAAATCAACCGTAATCAAAAACCATCCAAACTTATGGGATATAAACAACCCACATAACAAAAATAATCCTAAATGAACTTCGATAAGAATAAATATAAATATGCACATACTTGACATAACACTCTAAACTAAAGGAATGCCCTAGAGGTCCATGCAATTGAGTCCCCGCTATGCCATGAGTCCACTCTAAGTCCTTCTAACACCTGGAAGTGATAAAAACTAAGTCAGCTGATAGCTCAGTGAGTAGCAACATGGATAGTAAATACAGTTTTGAAAACAGGGTTCAATTCCAAAATAAGATATATATCACAGAAACTAGATTGGCATACAGTTTGGTAAATACAATCTGTTTCAAAAAGAAGGTTCCACAATTCAACACTTAAAATACTCATGTCTCGCAAGAACATGATAAACAACATTGTCCACTTAAAACAGATTATAACATGAACACCAATAATTTTTTTGGGTACCAATAAAAACAAACAATCTGCCACACAGTTCTCAGGGCTATAAGCCTCGTTGGATCCAATACCGAACTAAGAGTCATCCACAGGGTGGCACCTGGGCCTTTTCTCAAAGACGATCCGATTGAAGGTCACCTAATTGTTTTTAAAGGTCTGTTTTTAAAGGTCTGTTCCTTACAATCGTTGAGCACTAGAGTCATCACGGCCCAATCCGGATCTGTTCCCTAGTGGCCAGAGTCACCACACACAGTGGAATAATTTCCCTGGACTAAATACGCGCATGGTCCCAATAATCAATACGCATCAGTTTTCGCAAAACATGGTGGTTCATCATTATAAATATGAGACCAAAACAAATAGTTTACAGTATGCCAAGTTTACACATGTTTTAGAAATAATTTGATTCAATTGATAATATAATAATTTATCAAAACAGTTTAGTCTTGAAACAACAATTTAATTTTCCAACAGTTCAGGGTAGGGGAACATTTATAAAAATACGTAGCATGAAACTACTCACCTGGAAACGAAATAATATAATCCTCGAATAGAGTATGAAAGTCCAACTAGTGCCCTGAACCAATTATGAAAACTACACGTCACTACTAATTTAAAAATACTAAAGAATACGTACTAAGTAACCCCAAACTAAAGCGCACTAACACGGCTCAACCCAACTCACCGTTACTCTTAAATATTACCTAAGTTTATGTTCTTCAAGGTTTAAAATCACCCAAGACATGGGTAGAGACAAGGGACAGAAAAGGAACTTTTGACAATAATAAATGTGAACAACCAAACCCAACAAGTTTAAATTGGATTGTACTCCTCCAAAACCAACATACAACAACACCAAATATTTCCAAAATAAAAATAAAGGATTCGAATACACTTCTCCAAAAGCTTCGAAGGATACAAGTGTTACAATGTGCTCCCACAAATTGCTATGTTACAGGGTCTCTTCTACAAGGAGGAGTTCCAGATTTTCTTCAAGTGTAAATGCCGGATTTATTGCCTGCCAGCAGTACAATCAATAAGTGCAGTCCATTAATAATCAATGTATGGAGAAGAGGTAATCGTTGGTGCACATGATTTTGAAGAATCAGAGCAATGTTATGCAAACTTTGTAGGTTGTTCCTCAAATTTTTTAGTCATTTGAGTTATTTGTTTTGTAATTTTCAGGCTTAATAGTTCCACTTGTCAGTTGCAGATTCTCGCCAAGTGAAAAACTAGATAATTTCAATGATCAACCAGTATTCAAAATGCTTTCCTGTTGAGCTTTGAGTCAAACTTTGATTTTCTATAGCTAACCAAAAAAAAAGACAACTAAGAAGGCATGTGATGCATTGCCTCCATCTTCATGACACAAATGTTGGTTTTATGTTATTAACAAAGACATATGAATTGAATGAGCTAATTTTCAGAAAATGGGATGTGAAAAATGAATTCCTATTCATATTTTAATCAACTTTGTTATCAGAACATGAGAATTATGATGTTATCTGCAACCAATTCAAAAGAACAATTTTTAGTGTTAATCAAAATTTAATTTTATGGATTTTGTATCCATCCTAAAAAATCATATATAGGTTTGATTAGAATATTCCTGAAATTTGAGAATTTTGTATCCATCCTAAAAAATTGTCCATGGGATTTGATAAAATGACATGTTTCCATTTTGAACCAATGCTTTTGTGACGTTCCAATTTCAAATAATCTCATTTTAGCTTACGAAGCTAAATGATCTAAAACTCACAATGAGATGGTGCCCCAATTGTGGGTTCCTGGGAGCATTGCTTTTAACTGAGCTGTGTCCAATTGAGACACTAAAAGTTGCATATAGTTTCAAGTAACATGTCCTTAAACACGGGTTTTCCATGTTATTTTTTATATCACTAATTCTAAAAGCCATAGTGCTTGATGTAACCTAGAGTGTGCAAAAGTCACTTGAGTTGAGTTGACGTTTCCAATTATAACACTTTGGTCAGTCATATTGATTTGTTGCATGTGCAGCAGAGGTAGTTTGAGTAGGAGCCAATTAATCTAAGATGAAGTTGCAACAACAATCCACTTGGATGATTGAATCATGCATGTAGTTCTTGTTTGGAGTTCAGATCGTATGATTCAATTTTAACTTAACTGTTAATGCCAGCCTTTTTTTGCAAATTGGCTATATATGTTAGTTTCTTCAATATGTGATTTGTTACCTAGAGCATCTAACAAATTACATATAGCATTTTGTGCCCTTTCTTCCTTTTTTCTCATCTCCAAATCAAGTTTAGTTCATGTACGGGTTAAATAACCCCGTCAAGTCGTCTCTAACTCATCTGGAAGCGTGTATTCATACAGATTATTTTGCATGTGAAGTCAAAGAATAATTCTGTCTAGTTTAGGGTCACAAAGATCAAGTGTAGCCAAAGATTTATAGGTTGTATTCTCCCCCCCCTCTCTCTCTCTCTCTCTCTCTCGCGCGCACACACACACACATGCTTGCTCCCACACACTTTTGATTAGTTTCTTCAATATGTGATTTGTTACCTACAGCATCTAACAAATTACATATAGCATTTTGTGCCTTTTCTTCCTTTTTTCTCATCTCCAAATCAAGTCTAGTTCATGTACGGGTTAAATAACCCCGTCAAGTCGTCTCTAACTCATCTGGAAGCGTGTATTCATACAGATTATTTTGCATGTGAAGTCAAAGAATAATTCTGTCTAGTTTAGGGTCACAAAGATCAAGTGTAGCCAAAGATTTATAGGTTGTATTCTCCCCCCCCTCTCTCTCTCTCTCTCTCTCTCTCACGCGCGCACACACACACACATGCTTGCTCCCACACACTTTTGATCTTTTTATCTCCTTTTTGACAAAAAGCAAGCTGATAACCCAATGTTCATAACTGGCATCTCATCCAAATTACAAGAAATCAGGCAAAGAAAAATATTAAAAGATGAAAATTCTATTACAATATAGACAAGAGGTTTAATGTTTGTTTCAGTCTGTTTCAGAATCTAATATTTGTGTTACCAAATTATTCTTATCTTCCCATTTCAACTGGGAGCCAACAAAGCATATCAAAATTGTATAATTGATGGCTTCAATTTTGAAATCTGTGGAGCTTATTCTTGGGTTTTTAGTTTGAAGTGCTTGGTCTAGTCTATTTCACACAAGAAGCATCTAAGTTTGTACACATTTGAGAAATCAATTTGTCTCTTTAGGAAGTGTCTTAGAGTTTGCCTTACACTTAAGCAAGGCATAGCCATAGCCCTTTTAACATCTGATATCTTATGTTAAAAATAAAAAATTATTGAATATTTTGTTCTATTTTCTTTTGTTGTGATTTTTTTTTCCTCTACTTTTTTTAGTATAAGAAAACTAAATTAGGCCGAATCATATTTCTTTTGTAGTTCCAACAATAAGTTGATTATTAATTTCCATTCTACAAATCATTTCTAATCAGTTTCACTAACCATCTAGGAGGACAAAACAGGCAAGACAAACTCTGAAAGCCAGTTACTTCGATTTTTTTGTGGACTAGAAGCTCTGTCGGAGTGGCTGGGTAACCTTTCATCTCTTCATTTTTTGGAACTTTATAGATGCAAGACTCTGATGAATCTTCCCACCCTGGAAGCAATGCAACGCCTCACCAATTTACAATCTTTGAAAATATATAATTGTCTCCTTCTAAAGGAAAGATGTGCAAGGGAAAACGGCCAAGAATGGCACAAGATTGCCCATATTCCATCCATTGCCATCGGGTAGATTTAAAGGTAACTTATATATTTCTCCAATTGTTATCCATATTCATGATTTTTTCTCTTCTCTTCTCACTCCATCCCCCACCTTCCCAATGTTGTTTGCTCGTTTCCTTTGGGTTTCAGGTCAAGTGTAATGTTTTCCTCTGCAAATGACTAATCTTCTTCTTCAAGATGAAGCATAAAAAAGTTTACTGCCAATTATGTAAGTCCTCTGTGTCTCCAGCCAAACAAATAATTAATTGACTCCTGAAAATGATGTAATAACTAATTAATTAAAACCCTCTCTCTCTCTCTCTCTCTCTCTCTCCCTAAAGTTTATCAGTTTTAATCTAGCTTTTTATTTTTATTTTTTTTATTTGTATTATACATTTTAATCTCGGCTCTAGTATACAATTTACTAAACCGTGAGTATGTAATAGTTTATAACATTTTTCTTATTTGAAACTTATATATATATATATATATATGTTTTCCTTTTATATTTCCAGATTTATTAACATCTCTTTGCTAACACAAATTGCTATGTTACAGGATCTTCTACAAGGAGTTCCGGTTTTCCTTCATGAGTAAGTGCTGGATTTACTGCCTGCCAGTAGTACAATCAATTAGTGCAGGCCATTACTAATCGATGTAGGGAGAAGAGGTAATCATTGGTGCACATGATTTTGCAGTGTCAGAGAAATGTTATGCAAACTGTGTAGATTGTTAGTCATTTCAGTTATTTGTTTGTAATTTTCAAGCTTAATAATTCAACTTCATCAGTTGAAGATTCTCGTCATGTGAAAAACTAAATAATTTCTATAATCAACCGGTCTTCAAAATTCTTTCCTACTTAGCTTTGAGTCAAATATTGATTTTCTATACCTAACAGGGAAAAAAAAAACAGTTAGAAAGGCATGCCAGTGCTTTACGTGTTGCATCGCATCCATCTTCATGATGCAAATGTTGGTTTTATGTTGTTATTAACAAAGACATGAATTGAATGAGCTAATTTTCAGAAAATGGAAAGAGAAAAATGACTTCCTAATTATATTAGTCAACTTTGTTTTCAGAACATGAGAATTATTATGTTTATCTGCAACCAATTGAAAAGGCCAATTTTCAATGTCAATCAAAATTTAATTTTATGGATTTTGTATTCCTCATAAAGAATGATCTATAGGTTTGATTAGAATGTTTCTGAAATTTGAGGATTTTGTATCCATCCTAAAAAATGATCTATAGGTTTGATTAGAATGTTCCTGAAATTTGAGGATTTTGTATCCCTCCTAAAAAATCATCGATGGGATTTGATGAAATGACGTGTTTCAATTTTGAACCAACGCTTTTATGATGTTCCAATTTCAAATAATCTCATTTTAGTTGCTGAAGCTAAATGATCCAAAACTCATAATGACATGGTGCCCTAACTATGGGTTCTTGAGAGCATTTCTTCAGATGACATGTCCTTTTTTTTTATAGATTGGAGATGATGACATGTCCTTAAACACGGGTTTCCATGCTATGTTGTATATCACTAATTCTAAAAGCCTAGTGCTTCATGCTACCTAGAGTATGCAAAAGTCACCTGAGTTGAGTTGAGATTTCCAATTATAAGATTTTGGTCAATCATATTGATTTGTTGCATGTGCAGCAGAGGTAGTTTCAGCAAGAGGCAATTAATCTAACGATGAAGTTGCAATAACATTCCACTTGGAGGATTGGATCATGTATGTAGTTCTAGTTTGGAGTTCAAATCCTATGATTTAGTTCAATTCAATTTTAATTTTGTCTGTTAATGCCTGCCCTTTTTCTGTATATTGGCTATATATATCAGTTTCTTTGTTTTGAGACACTTCAATATATGGTTTGTTACATGGAGCATCTAACAAATAACATGTAGCATTCTGTTTCCTTTTCTTTTCTTTTTTTTTTAATTATCTTCAAATCAAGTTTGGTTCATGTACAGAGTTAAATAACCCATCTGGAAACGTGTATTCATGAACAGATTATTTTGCATGTGAAGCCAAAAGACTAATTTTGTCTATAGTTTTGGGTCACAAAGATCAAGTGCAACACAAGATTTGTAGGCGGTATTCTCCCTCTATCCCTTATTGATTAAGTATGACAGTCTTATAATTAGCAAGCGCTACTCTTTCTTTAATGAAGAATTGGCACAATCACTATCTGATATTTGAATTGAATAAAGATAGCTTGCTGGAAATAGGTGCTTGAGCTGGAACTCTCACATCAGCTGGATCAGCTTACGCTATTGGAAAGGCCAAGTGCTTCCGAGTTGAAAAAGGAAAGCTAGCAAAGCTAAAACAAACATACAAACATGACAAAAATCAAGGGCGGCTCAAGATTTGCAGGTGATATTCCACCACTGCACACAGCATCCTTCTCGCCCCCCCCACCACCACCACCAGCCAATGTTCATAACTGGAATCTCATCCAAATTACAAGAAATCAGGCAAAGAGAAAGATTAAAGGATGAAAATTCCAGTACAATATATACAAGAACCCCCCCCCCCTTTTTTTTCTAATTCAGTCTGTTTTAGAATCTAATATTTGTGTTACCCAATCATTCTGATCTTCCCATTTCAATTGGGAGCCAATAAAACATATGAAAATTGCATGTTCGATGCCTTGAATTTTGAATTATGTGAAGCTTACTCTTGGTTCTTAGTTTAATGTGCTTAGTCTAGGATACTTCACGCAAGTTTGTAGACATTTATAAATCAATTTGTGTCTTTAGGCAGTGTCCTAGACCAAGCACTTTAAAGTTTGTAGACATTGATAAATCAATTTGCAAATGGAGAAACAACAGAGACTCAGAATTTGTAGTGCTCGTACTCTCCCAGTTAATTCCTGCCTTTTTCTGGAAATTGGCAATATAGCATTCTGTTGTCTTTTGTTCTTTTTCTTCATTTCTGTATCAAGTTTGTGTATTAATGTGCAGAGAGTATCACATGTGAAGCAAAAACAATAATTCTGTTTATAGTTTTGTGTCACAAAGATCAACTGCTGCTCAACATCAGCAGCGGTCTCGACAGTGTCATGATACAATTTGCTAATCATTCATCACAACGGCAGTGCTAAATAGACGCATCATTGAGCTGAGGTTTATGTTGACAAAGAAAATGATACAAGAGCTTTAAAGATTGAGTGTTCTCTTTTATCTAGGGCTAGCTTTTATGCATTATAAATTTGTAAACATTTATAATAGTACTAAACTGTGAGTCATCTGAGGCCTCTGGATCCTATTATGAAATCAATTCTCTATTTTTTTTAGTAACTTTAGTTTATGAGAAACGCTATGCATCCCTAAAAACCTACTAAAAATTCTACACACTAGTCACATTTGGCATTGCTCATAATGGGTGTTACTTGTTGACTGATTTTCCTGTTACAAAATTGATGTGAAATAAATAGGAAAAAAGTTTTTTTATATTTTTTTTATTGATGCTGAATCACATTATATAATTCAGTTCAATTTTAATTTTCTTTGTTGTTTATTATCTATGTTCATGTACCAGGTTAAACTATTACACATATGCTTTTGTATCTGTATGTGAGGGTTCAAGAAAGTTGTTGAAAAATTCAAAGATCTTTGAAGATCATTAAAGAAACATTCAAATTCTCTAGAAGATGATGAGAGGCTTAGATTCTTCAATAGTCTCAACTACAAACACAAGAGTAAAGGGATGATAGAGATAAGAGATTGCGTGAAGAAGAATGCAAAGCAATTAGAGAGAGAATAATGGCAAGGCTCTCCCATGGATCTCCCACTTTCACTCTCAAGGTTGATAATGGAGAAGGGAAATTAGTTCTTTCCCAAAAGTTATCTCTCCAAAAATCCATCCTTTGTAAAGCTATGGGTGAGCGCTATTTATAGGCACCTCATGATGTAGGATGGAGCCCATGTGCAAGGCACATGGGGAATATTCTCTCTAACCACCTTGTCCAAGGAGGTGACCTCTCCGATGATGAGAAAAACCCTCAAAGAGAAAATCAGTCTTTTGTTTTTTCTTCTTGTTTGGGAACCCAACGTACTCATTACATATATTCAGCACATTTGGGGAATATTCAAGGAATCACACTTTTTTTGAATTAATAAAAATAAAAGAAAAAAAAAACGTAAAGTGCTGGGGCCTTTCCATATATATGACATCGAAAAAAAGCTGAGGGATCACATGCAAACTTTGTCCTTATCTCCTTTATCATTATATTCTTTTTTTCAAACCCTATTCTCTCAGCCTACTCTCTCTCTCTCTCTCTAGATCGAGAGACCCAGCTTCTTCTTCTTCAAGAAAACTTTGTTTCTACAATACCAAGGCCACTGTCGTGCTCTCCTTCTTCAACAAACCAGAGGTTGTTGCCGCTTGCATACTAACCTTCATCACAGCTCTAGGCCCCGTCGCTGCCGTTGTCACCGAAGACCCACACCTCATTGCACATCGTCGGCGGCCAAAGCTTCGGCTACCACTGGCGTCGCATCTCGGCCACCGGTTCACGCCGATACCAATCCAGCTCGCTGCTAGCTGGCTTATCCTTCGCACCCGATGCCTTATGCCAACGCTAAACCAACCTATCGTCATCCTTTCTTTGTCGAAACTTCACCTTTGGCCTCGGCTGCACAGCGCCAACCACACGTCGCCCACTCAACGCGTCGTGTGGCCTTGCTTAACACTATTCAACTCGTCCAGTTCACCAGCATCAACATCTGCTCACTTCGGCACTGTTTTCTCATGATTTTAGTTTGTGCTGTTCTTGGCCACTCTGTCTCACGGGTGTGGCCTTCAGATCTGTAAGTATATTTTTCGAAACCCACTCTCTAACCTCTTGTTTTGACGAAATTCGAATTTGTAAGCCTTGCTGGAAACTTGATTTGGGCTTTTGAGATTTGTGGGCATTGTTGTATACCAATTTTGAACTTGAGATGACTGAAACTTCTATTGAATCTTGATTTGCATGAGAAATGTAATCCTGAAATTCATGTTTTTGAGCTTGACCTTGTCTTGATAAATCTGACATAGATAGAGTATTAATGTAGCAAATGAAGGATTGGTGTTGCTACAGAAAATTTTGTTAGACTTGCTTATCTTGAAATTTGTAGAGTAAATAAATGTTGTTGCAAAAGAAATTCAAGGAAATAAGTCCCTCATATTGTATATAGATCTTGTTGTCAAATGATTGATTGTTGTGGCTCCGAGAATAGTGAAACCTGATATTGAGCTTTATATACTTGATGAATGAATTCCCGATATCCAAATTCGGTGAATGTTTCGCTTGGAAGAATAAACTGATGTAACAGAGAATAAGACCATATATTGTTATGTGTTGATCTTGTGGACACATGAGGAAATAAAATGTTGATGCCGAAATTTTGTTTGAACATTGTTGCTTTATGTCGACTTGAGAGGAATTGGCCCGAAGAGACAAAACCTTGATTGTTGCATTTTTATGAACTCGCTTAGAGGAATAAAATTGTTACATCTTAAGTAGATCATTACTATTGTTGATGTCGCCTCTATTTCGGTAATGTTTGAATCATAATTTGAACTCGATATTGTTTGTCTAGTTTGTCGGCGTTACTATTTCAAGAAAATAAATTTTTGTGTGAAATCTACGACCCTGGGGCCCTCAGAACCTACACTAATGAGAGCAAGGGCTGTCCTTCGGAAGTCTGAATGAGAGCAAAACTGTCCCTCAAGAGTCCGAAAGTAGCATACACCCTACTTCAGCAAGAAAGATCCCTCTGGAAGGCAGCCGAGTCTACCATGCTTGCACCAACAGAAGTAAAGATTGTCTCTCGGAAGTCCAAGTAAAAGCAAGGCTGTCCCTCAGAAGCTCGAGTGGAAACAAGGCTCCCCCTCAGAAGTCCAAATGGAAACAAGGTTGTCCCTCGAAAGTCCAAGTGGATGCGCACTTCTACTTCGGAAGCTAATGGAAACAAAGGCTATCCCTTGGGAGTTCGAGTAGGAGTCCACTCTACTTTGAAAAGAAAGATCCTCGGAGCTCGTATTGATGAAAGCAAGGGCTGTTCTTCGGACCCGCACTAATAAGAGTAAGAGTTGTCCCTCGGAAGTCCAAACGGAAGCAAGGCTGTCCCTCAGGAGTTTGAATAGTAGCACACACCCTACTTTGGTAAGAAGATCCCTTCTGATAGGCCACCGAGTCTCGAGGGCTATTCTTCGAAAGTCTGAGTGGGAGAACACACTCTACTTCAGTAAGAAGGATCCTTGACACTTTTTGAAAGTCTGAGTGGAAGAACACAATCTACTTCAGCAAGAAAGATCCTTGAGGCTCGCACTAATGGAAGCGAGGTCTGTTCTTCGAAAGTCTAAGTGGGAGCACACACTCTACTTCAACAAGAAAGATCCTTGAAGCTCATACTGATGGAAACGAGATTTGCTCTTCGAAAGTCTAAGTGGGAGCACACACTCTACTTTAACAAGAGAGATTCTCGAAGCTCGCACTGATGGAAACGAAATTTGCTCTTCGAAAGTCTGAGTGGGAGCACACACTCTACTTCAACAAGAGAAATCCACGAAGCTCGCACTGATGGAAACGAGGTCTGTTCCTTGGAAGTCCAAATGGAAGTAAGGGTTGTCCCTCAGAAGTTTCGGTAGAAGCATACTCTTTTCTTTGGCAATTAATGAAAGCAAATGCTATCCCTCGAAACTCGCACTGACAGAAGCGAGATCTATTCTTCGAAAGTTCGAGTAGGAGTACACTCTACTTCAACAAGAAAAATCCTCAAAGCTCGCACTGATGGAAGCAAGGGCTATTCTTCGAACGTCCGAGTGAGAACACACACTCTGCTTCAACAAGAAAGACCCTCGAAGCTTGGATTGACGGAAGTAAGGGCTATTCTTCGGAAGTCCGAGTGGGAGCACACACTCTACTTCAGCAAGAAAGACCCTCAAAGCTTGCATTGATGGAAGCAATGGCTACTCTTCGGAGGTTCGAGTGGGAGCACACACTATTTTGACAACTAATGAAGAAGGCTGTCTCTTGGAAGTCTAGGTGGGAGTACACTTTACTTTGTCTCTTGGAAGTCCGAGTGGGAGTACACTTCTATTGCGTTAAGAAAGGTCCCTTTGGGTTAGTAACCGTGTCTATTATTCCTCCTTCATCTTCGAGGGGCAACAAAAATTGAAAACTGTTTCAAGCAACATAACACAATGAAGATACACAATATAGAAAAAATAATTTCTAATGGAGACACACAATATGGAGGAAATGAATTTTCATAACAAAAGAAAGAAAGAAAGATAAAACTTTATGGACAATGCAGTAAATGCAAACTGTAAATGTCATAGATAGACTTCTTCTGTGGAATGTTGACATTTGCCCCTAGAGTTGCAAGGCCATTTGGAAAGCT